AGCGGCCTGCATTGTGGGATGGGATGCGCGTAATTTAGATCCGACAGGCTGCACGTGTAGTTGCTTCTAAGAGGCAATTGTGGTGTACTGACAACTAACCACACACAGCAAAATTAAACTTTAAAAAAAAGCATTAAAAATAGTCTGTTTCATAACTGTGAGTACCGTTTGGAATGGAACACATTCATACACAGCATGAATAACTGTCACACACTCATAGCTTATTATTGGAGACCGCACAATTATACACTCTGTACATTACTGTGATTTCTAATATTGTGGAAATCTGTCACACACTCTTACACACAGTGCATTGAGTTTTAATGCTACAGAATCCTGTTATGTTCCAAGTTTTCTGAGCTCTTAGAAGAAATTAATGAATTCAGAACTTAGTAAAAGACTTTGGACTTTTAAGTAGAACAATATGTTTTAATTATACTGATCTTTCTTTCATGTGAAATTGTGTTGAATTCCTCGGTCACTTAGGGTTAGAGTGGAAAAATACATGATACATGTTTGAAACCTGCAGCCCTTAGTGATGACATTTAGCTTCATAACATTATTAAGCCATAGAGGTATTATACTGATATTTTGAGTGCCAAAATACCTCCCTGAACAATGGAACATGTAATTCTCATATTGCCAAAGGTACTCGAGCCTCTGTTCATTGCCATCCAATTAAGTATAAATTATACTGCAAATTGAGAGAGAGAAGGCTATTATATTTTCATTCATTACATCCCAGCCCTTAAGCTAAAGTAAATGCTTTGCCTGGAGCTGTTATGGAAGGAGTGCATCCACTGTCGACGTGTTTAATGACCAGATTATTGGAAGTAATGCTCGCTGGATTATGTTTAAAACAACACTAATGCATTTTTAAAGGACAAATGTCACAAATGTTAGGACCTATTCTGAATAAAATTAATGCCGAAGAATTATAAGAATTATAAATGTATCCATCTGCAGATGTGTGCAAATAGTAACATCAGAGCCATGACCCAGGAAGGATCTCTAACAGCCATCTGAGTAGTGGCCAGTGAAGTTATCACCAGGCTGTAATGTCAAGACAGTGTTTACAGCAAAAGGCCTGAAGGTGGGGGCGGGGTCTGACCGCAGTGCAGGGAAGACGTGAACCACAAGAGCTCCTGCAACAAGCTACACTTAAAAGCTACTTTCACGCTCCACAAAGCGACTAATCGGGTCACAATGGCCACCAACCGAAAAGGGACATTAAGCAGAATAGAATGATACCCCACAAATGGCACCACAAGCTACCCTCACCGATCAGGCAATCGAGGCCTACTCACATGGCGAGCGCGGGAGGGACAGACGCTCTCCCACCGCCGCAACTAGCTACCTCGATGGCTAAAGGCCCTTGTTCCCCACCCATGGACTGGCGGGGGTCATCCCGGTCCAGACTCCACAGGGCTGCAGAACCCCGCAAGCCTCCAAGACTGCAAGTAGTACACACCCAGAGGCCAAGATGGCGGCTGCCGACCGAGCTTCTGAACCCCCACATGTCCAACCCTTATTGGCGCAGCCAGCAAGTGAGCACACCCAAGAGGACCGCATAGCGGCAGCCTTCAACCTTTTCTGGACACTGTGGCAGACCATACTGGCACAGAACCAAGCAGCCACCCGGCTGCCCGCCACCTGTCCTGCAAGTATACCTGCGCTGAAATGCATAGCTATGCCACCGACCAACACAAAGCGGCAGAGGGCAACAAGAGCTCTACCTAAATTTAAAAATCGCAGGCCGAGCACCCAACACCGCAAGCCTGGGTCCCGACGGGCTCGGAGAGCCACTAAACGCGGCCCACCGCTCTACATACTAAAGTGGCGAACTCGAGGGGCCTATTCCTGGCCTACACCGGGCGAAGCCAAGAAAGCCTGTCAACGCCTTACCCACGTGCAGCGATGCACAGCCGCAAACACTCCGAAGGGCTGTGCCTCTGCATCAAGGGGACATACAAAGACCCACACTCACCAAACAGCACGGGGAGCGGAGAAGCTGCCACGCCACCAAGTATACCTCCCCACCACCCAAGGCATTCACGCAGGACTGGGAGGCAGCGGTGGAGTCCCTGTAACCTTCATGACCCGCGACGCCGAGGCCCCATGGGACTCTCCGGTATGTGCCCGGCCAGTGCCGACTACAGGAGTCGGCTGACTTTCACTTACTCTCACTGCCACACTGAGGCTTGGACTGCTGCCACGCCACCACGTCCATGCAGTCACGGAGGACTATGTCGAGCAATGTTATTAAGCCTTGTCCCTCTGAGCTAGACGAAATTTAGCACACTTAGATAAGCATGATTGCGCTAACGTTTATTGCCCTGTCAAACACTATGTCAAAGTAACACTCGTTATAAATGCACCTGTTACCAATCTTATAACACGTTAAGTTTATTTAGTTTGTGTTCACTCTATTACTTACATGCCAAGTATCCAGCAAGTGTAGCCTATATTGTTTACATATACTTCATGCCTGCCAACAACTATAACGAGGTTCTTGATAACATCTTCCCCCTCAAGTTGGAATAAGTATTACACAGTCAAAACGTTAAGCCAACACTATATATCTAACCTTGCTTCACTAGTGTACCTTCTACCACAGGGAATATTAGTCATAGCTTCGCTCTACCAATACAGATATCTCTGGTCAAGCTACATGTAGCCTTTCCCTGATGCATAACCTGCAGTTTAACCCACCCTGACATAGAACTAAGTCTATAGTGTTTTCTTCCTGGATAATCTAGTTTAATGCTGTCATTAATAATATGATTGGATATAACTCTTTGTCACGCGATAATAATCCATAAAACTGTGCTATGTTTTTAGCAATGCCTAACCAATGTAAATCTATGTATGACACTCTGCATGCTCTAGCTATTGTGGCATTGTGTGCTTTATGTGATTTTTCATGCACAAATAAAATAAAGAATAAAAAAAAAATAGTAACATCAAATAGCTGGGCAGCAGGGGGCACATTATATGTACGAATAGTAGAAAAGTTACATTGTGAATAATGATCGAGTTTAGAAGCATAGTCCTTTTCAGATAAACTTTATTTTGATGCAATGACCAAGATTGTCCATTGATCCACCCACCCATCCGTGTCGGAATACTAGGATAACAAGTACATACCATGTAGTGAACTATTCTTCAATGTACCCTATGTTCCCCAGGACATATATAGCTTTCGGCTCTTATTCAGGTAATGGTACCGGACAAATCCAGAAACACTGAGCAGCTCCAACAGCCTCACTTGCAAACAGGAACACCATTCATTTCAAGATTGCCTCAGGTGTAACAACAATAGAATAGGTGCCAACACGTTTTATATTGTGTTTTCATTCTTGGAATGTCACATAAGGTGCCAATGTGAGGTTTTGTTTATGTGTTCTGCAAGACTGTTTCCCACACAGGTTTGTGGATTTGTCCTCTAGGTTCCCCAGCAGTACGGGCTGTTAGTGTCCTTACTGGATCAGGATTGGGAAATCTCTAAATCGAGGACTGATGTACACAAATGATTCCCCATCCAATCTTCAAGGCATGGTTCAGGTCTTGTCAGTATACCAAGTGGAACATAATTGGGCAATGTCTACGTTCTGGACTGTTCAAATGCCTGGAGTCAGGAACAATTGCTATAGACTATTGGGCCATGGCCCGGGGAGAATTTTGGTAGCTCTTACCTGTAGGTGGCGGCACTGTAAAATATTGTCCCTTTATAATACTGAGCTTTATGTGAGACATCTGAACTTGCCAGCTACCCAGAACAGCCCATGTCATGAAAGCGGCAAATGTGGTTTCTGCATGGGTAAAAAACAAAACAAGATGGTCAGAATGGGGTCCTAAATTTTGACTATCACACTGCACCTAATGTTGTTAAGTACATTGCTAGGAACTAACAGAACAATAACATATGAAGACCACAAAATAAAAAATGGGGGAAAAGGATGGAAACTTAACACAGTCTAATAATGGGGAGGAGAACAGGTTAATGGAATACTAGCCTCTAGGTGCTACATGGATATAATTTAATATATACTTCCTGTAATCCTTGCAGGTAGAATGATGCTGAAGACAGCAAGCTTTACTGTGTTGCCAGCATCCTGGGTTATAAGATATGATCCCTACAGCAAAAAAAGTGAGGAAGGGGGAAGATAATCAGAAACATAGCATGCGTTCTGTTGGTACACAGAAAATGCATGCATTCTTTTTATTTACTTTTCCTTCAAAGTGGGTCATGTTATGATGGAATTGTGTAGAGAACAAAGCCAACCTAGTTATGTAATATCTGACAATGCTGATCCTGGAGACATATTCACCATTACATGCCCTACTAAATCTCCAATCTATGACAGTTTTAAGAAATTGTTTTGTCTTTGCCCATTTTACCCACATTATAATCAGAGCCCCCCTGAGCACTCCAAATATTAACTGACCACAATAGCTTGCAAGATGTTCTTTCTGGAATAATGTCCATTTTACATGCTAAAGTTGAGTTTAGACAAACTTTATCAAAAGCATATGGTTACATCAAACTGCTGCACTTTATCCTGTTACACAATAACAAGAGTGAATGAAGAAAGATTAATATGAATAGGCAATGTGAGTACTTAGGAAAGCAATGTATTACTTATATTTGAATCTAAAACACATAGGGGTGCTATGTTCCCTTTCAGCAAATGTTAGCAACTGTAAAAATTAAATTGTGCTTACCTGAAGACAAATGTTTTTAGCAAAAGATTGTGTCTTCCTTCTTCAAGACAGCTGATAGGTGGATGCACCTACATGCCAACTTTGTAGTTGTTGGATTTCAGAAGTTCGAAAGAGACGATGTATGAACGCAAGTATACAATGTTACATGAAGGTTTACTTATATATTAGGAATGCTATCAAAAGAGATGAACATGCTTGCCATGGGAGTTCCTTTAAACGGATGGGTCATGTTTGTGGATCTATGCATATCTTACAATTACCCCAGAAGGTGACATCTCCAGGTACGGTCCATTGGTTGTGGGTTGCAGTGGAAGGTAGGTTCACTTACCTAAAGATCTCCGTTGCGGCTGCCGCCATCTTTATCCTGGAGTTCTTCTTTGCCAGGACCCAGACCAGTGTCGTACTCTCTCACTAACACAAGAGCACAACACTGAGGTCTATAGAGGATCCCACTTGAAAGCGGAAGCCTCCATAGATTATGTCTCGTCACGAGTGTGATCATACTTAAATCCCACAATTGTCACTTGTGTCAGTTGCTGGAATAGGACAAAAGTTGACAGTGGAGCTCCACCCTTTTGTCAACTTTGGTCTTTATCACAAGCTAACTAGTCCCTACTTTGTCTTATGGTATCTTTGGGTTGTGTTGACTTTTCAATGACATACCAATGCAGTCAGCATCAGTATTTCATATAAGCTATATCTTCAGGAAATACTGATAAGCAACACAGCTGCTTTAAATCCCAGAGTACTGTTGCAAAAAGATAGACCTTACCTATACCATGTCATAAGAGAACTGTGTGCCTAACTTAAATTTACCTGCACACATTTAAAGTATAAACTATTCTTTTTTTGGCTTTGTAAACAATGTCAGCATTGATGAAGATATGTTATGATACCAAGAATAATAATACACATTTCAGCTGATGTAACTGATCCAGCTTTTCCCAGAAACTGGCAAGAAATGAAATGACAATTAAGAATAATTAATTTGTTAAAGACAAAACAGGCAATAAATTATTTTTATTGGACTGTTAAAAAAAAATACTTAAATTAAATGTTGAATGACTAATGTGTGATATGACTTGTACAGAATGGATCATTTTCATTGTAACTGTGAGTATAATCGATGGATAAAGTTAATGATATAGACAAATGAGTCAACAAAAGAAATCAAAGTCCATTAAGCTTAACATTTATCAGAAGTTGTAACTGTAAAATGATAGAAAACAAACAAAAGAAGGTGATAGAAATCAAAGGAAGAAAAGAAAATTTAAAAAAAATTTAAAGGCAAAACCAGAAGTTGTAAACGTGGTAGCAATGTTATTTTTTTACACCAAGTTACTATATAATAGCTAACATCAGTTCCATTGCTGACAGACAGATTCTGAAAGCAAAAGGTTTTCATAGTAAAGTGTAGAAGCTGCAAAAGGAAGTTGAAAACAATGAAATGACAAAAGTAGGGGGTTCCTGAGATTCTCCATTAACCACGTGGGGTCACCAAGAACCACAAATCAGAGGGACTTAAAGGGACATTTTAAGCAACAAAACAACTTTAGCTGAATGAAGCTATTTTAGTGTTTAGATCATGACCCTGAGGTCTCACTGCTCAGTTCTCTACCACATTTAGGATTTAAAACACTTTTGTTTCTGTTTATGCAGTCCTAGCCACACCTCCCCTAAATGTGACTGACATAGCTTGCATAATACAAATAGTTTCATTTTCAAATCAGATGTAGTTTACTTTAAAAGTTTGTAACTCCTGCTCTGTAAATGAACTTTAATTACATACAGGAAACTATGAACAGAGCAGGAGATGGGAAATTCTAAATGTAACATAGTTTGCAAAACAGGAAGTGTAAACATTAGATAGCTCTTTACATGAAGTGTTGAGGAAGGATGTGTAATTCACATGCAGAGAGGTGTGCCTAGAGCTGTAGGTACAAAGTTATTTAACTACTAAACGGCAGGTTATTAAGCAGTGAGACTACATGGGGCATGACCTATACACCAAAACTGCTTCATTAAGCTAAGGCTGTTATGGTGACTATAGTGTTCCTTTAACAATTAGTCCTATCTTTACTCCACTCACCATGTAGGGTTTTCTGGCCCTGCTCTCTCTCAGTTCTCTGTGTATTTACACCTCATACTGTGCATCAAGTGGTATCGCAAGAGCCATTCAACTCACTCTGAAACATAGAATGTATCGGCCGATAAGAACCATTCGGCCCATCTAGTCTGCCCAATATTTCGAAATATTTTTAATTAGTCCCTGGCCTTATCTTAAGTCTAGGATAGCCTAATGCCTATCCCACGCATGCTTAAACTCCCTCACTGTGTTAACCTCTACCACTTCAGCTGGAAGGCTATTCCATGCATCCACTACCCTCTCAGTAAAGTAATACTTCCTGATATTCCTCTGGCTTAATAGGGACTCCTAGGTACTAGGATTATACACTGATATGAGAATTGTCGGAAATTCAAGGTGAATTTTAAATGTAACGGCAAAATAGCCAAACTGGAAATGCTCTCAAGTCAACTATGCATTCTGTTAAGGTACTTTGAAATTTAATTTGAATTCCGGACATCTCTAATTTTAGTAAATGACCCTGTATAGGTCTTATTTTGTGCTTTTTTATTAGGGATTATAGAGAGGAGTTATGGTCACCGAAAGAGACACTATTTGACTGATTGCAGCTGTCATAGGCTCCTGCAGTCTGTCCCTTTAATGTAAATGGAATGTACAGTTGTGTAATACATGTCCCTGTATTACACTTACCCTCAACTCTGTCTAGTAAATCGACCCAGATATGTATAGGGCTCAGTTAAAATTGAGAGTCTGTAAACATGTAGTTATTATTAAATGATATTCAGTTTGGCTGAATTGAGCTTCCTTGGATAGACTGAGCAGTCTGTTAGTTCCATTAACATTCTAGAGTTGTATTATCACATTTGTTTTAGTAAAATAGAGAGTTTGCAGTACATGGATTGCTATGCCACCTATAACACAGCTTTTCCCTCCACCCAAGACCGTGGACGAATGCAGTCACCTCCACCTACAAAATGAGCCACTGGAGAAAAAGAAATGTAGTAACGCTGTGACTCCAATTTCCTTGTATTGCTACTTCTGCAATCGCCGAGGGCCCGAATGTGGTCTGTACTGTGTTGTTCTTGGTGATCAAGATCAAAGAATCAGTGACAGCCGTCTCAAAAAGTGTTTTAAACCAATACAAATTTCAGGCTGTTTTATTGTCTATAACTGGCTCTGAGCCATGTTTTAGAGCCTTTATAAGATTTGAATATTTCATTTTTCTCTGTTTGTTTTTGTTGTCTACAACATGTCTAGCCTGCTAATGTTATTCTTGTTTAACAAATATTCCTCAGCAGGGCTTCTAGCACTGAACGTACTTCTTTTACGCATGTCTTTATTTAGCCATTCATTTAATTACTGCAGGATAGATTGCATTGCATCAAAGAATATTAAGGGAACACTTCTCAATTCTAAAAAAACACAGGACTGAATGTCAATCCACTGTATGCACAAAGTGAAATTAAACCATGGCCCTTAGAATACGAGATCCTGACTCTAGAAATGCAAGCAGCCTACGAATTAGGGCCACAGGGGCCCCAGCATAATGAAGAAGGATATAACAGTTAATATTATTAGCGCTGTAAGGAGTAAATACATGTATGCTTATTGTAGAGGGGCCTCTTGTAATCGTGTTCCCTCAAATACACTACTATATTAAACCTTTTTCTCATATGGTCTTTTCTGTACAAAAAAAATCCCCCTGAAAAATCACCTTTCAGGACGAGGATGCTCCATTTTCACTTCATTCCTGGAATACAGAGCAATGAAATAAAAAATTCAGAAAAATAGTGGATGTTGAAAGGTTGCATAAATGTCTCAATTTAATACCAGAACTTCAAAGCTTATATTCAAGGTAATTTTTCCAGGAAAAAAGCGCAAACTATGTTATCCATCCTTACATCTAACCTGTACATTAAGGAAATGATTAACACACACAACCCAAACCCTGTAATGTTTAGCACACCTTAAATGTTGGATTTATGATCTATTTTTACAGCAAACATTTCAAACTCCCCAATAGCAGAGTAAAGAATAAAAATCCAATGATTTCCTTATTGGCTCATTAAATAAAATTATTTTCTGATTATTTGTTCAAAGTTTAACAAGGATATCTACACTATTTGCACAAGACTGTCACTTCTCTTTTCACTAACTTGCTTTCTTATAACAATTCCTCCCATACATAGGTCCAGGAGAACCAGGATCTATACTTCTTATGAATCTTTTAACATCAATTAATATGTGACCACATCACATAGTAGGAGACACAAACAACTACTGTCTCAGATGGGTTTTATGGATTTTTATAAATTCTCCATACCATGGGGGAACCATACGTTCTTACACGACTTACTAAAGTAATGTAACAAAACTTGCTCCAATAAAGAGCATCTTAATCTGGTCCATGGGGACTAATCTATCTCCTGCCCATCAGGGATTTATGGAATAAGTAGTTTATCCCCCTCCTTCCCCTTCAAGACCAGCTCCATTTTTCACATAGGATGCTCATTAAACTTAGAGCATCCATCCCTTAGCGCATATCAGTTTATGCACAATCTAGTTCACTGTTTAATGAACAGATCTTTATTTTAGTACTGTGGACAAAATTGACACTAAACAGACTGACAGGTTTGGTGGGCTGTCTTATACAGGCAGCCATGTTTACAAATTATGCAAAGTACTTATGGCGTTCAGACTAACCGTTTAAAGATCTTTTATAGAGATGTCTAAAAGAGTTTTAACATAATGTTACCAATGTAAACACATTGTATGCACAACCCGATTATTAAAAGCTGGGGAAAAAAAGGCAACAAACCAGATAAGTAAAATATGCCCTTGAGTTAAAAGAGCCATTTCACTGTCAACTCATAACAGCTTGCAACAAAGCAATTAAATATCACATTACAAGAATGCCTTTTACTAGTTAAAAGGTACACTCAGAGAATCAAAGCAACTTTACCTTAATGAAGCAGTTTTATTGTATAGAATTCAGTGGTAATCAAGCTTCAGCACTCCATATGTTGTTGACTTGTCACATTACCTTTTGTTTCCATGAAGTCATTCTCATCTCACTAGCAGTTCTGAAGACGACCACTGTAGATCTGCCCCTTTTTATGATGCGGTGCGTGTGCGCAAACGTCATGAAGCTAATGACGTCACGGACCTACAAAACTTTTGAATTCAAATGCTTTGGAGGCGTGGTTATAGATTAAAGGCATAGACTATAAAAAGGGCATTTAGGGTGTAGATCATTGTCCTGTTGTGGTGTCTGCTTACAGTCACAAGAGTGCGTTATATTCTGTTTCTATTTTGGTACTTTGATCTTGGCTTTCCCTGACTATTTTCCGTTCTGTTTTCCTGTGACTCGGCTATTGGTTTTTCACTTCCTTGACTCGGCTTGTCCATGACCAT